AATTCAATTGGTGATCAAGTAATTGAAAATAACGATAAAAACGATAATAAACATCTACAAATCAAATCAAATTAAACTCAAAATAATTAATTAAAACCTAAAAATATCATAATAATGGTTCATCTTATCCTAACAATGTATAAAACTAGCATAACATATCGAAATTACAAGAAATGATATTTAAGTGAAAAGACATAATCCGAATTTTTGATAAATGAAGATGAATCTTAAAATCTTGAATCTCTTCAATGGTTTTTTGATGAATCTCCGCTTGTGTCCTCCCTTCTTTGCCCAAAAATTAAGTTTGAATCTTCACTTAATTGAATTCTTACAAGTCCACTTCAATTATATTACAAAAACTATATTTTTTTTTTCTTTTTTTGATAATAATTAGGGCTGGACAAAACTCCTTAACCGAATTGGACCGAACCGGATCCAAACCAAACTGAGTGGTTTTTCTTAAGTTAAATACCCGAATGGGTATTTGAATCGAGAACCGACGAGTTTGGTTCGGTTCTCGGTTCTAGACCAAGAATCGAAGGACTGAATCTTTCTAGTTTTTTTAATTTTTTATTTTAAATAAGTCAAATTATTTTATTTTTTCTAAATGAAGTTGTTAACTAATTAATTTAGTTCAAACTAAATTGTGATTTTACTATTTCTAATTTTCAGCCAACCCAACTTAATCAAATTGACCAAATTTTACCCAAATCTCTTATTCTATAGTAGTGTCGTTTTTGCCGTTATATTATTATGAATTGATTATCTTCCTCTTCTTGTGATTTTAACAGTCAAATTTATAAAAAAACTCAACAAAGAGATGAGCAAAAGATTTCACCAGATTGGACTATATTATTTTGTAAGAGTTAATGTTGAACATGTCATAGTCGAACTAATGTAGCGCCGTTGTAAATATAAAAAAATTAATTATTGTACGAAACTCGGGAATCGAATGGAACCGAACCCGAATGGTTTCACTTACTAAACACCCGAAAATTTTGGTTCGATTTCTAATAATGTATAAAACTAGCATAACATATCGAAATTACAAGAAATAACATTTAAGTGAAAAGATATAACCCGGATTTTTGATAAATGAAGATGAATCTTAAAATCTTGAATCTCTTCAATGGTTTGTTGATGAATCTCCACTTGTGTCTTCCCTTCTTTGTCCAAAAATTAAGTTTGAATCTTCAGTTAATTGAATTCTTACAAGTCCACTTCAATTATCTCACAAAAACTATAAATTTTTTTCTCTTTTTTTGATAAAAATCGATGAATATTGGAGTATAATATGTAAACGAGAGGTCTATAATATGTATTATGCTTGCATTTATTTGTAGGAGTAGAAAACTGGTTGAAAATCATGTCCAAATTGGTTTCGAAAAGAGTTTCAATCGAATAAGATAAGTTGTCTTCGCGTACGGATTTTTTGTCATTGTATATCAGTCAGTATTTTGGCTATAACTTTCCCATACAATATCTGATTGAGACGATTCAAACTGTGTTAGAAAGATAATGCAAAGGGTGAAACTTTGCTAGAAATAGGATTTTTTTCAATTCGAACGTTTACTATTCCAAAAATGGATCTCAATCTTATACTAAACATTTCGAATATGACTTGTGCAATTGAAAATTGATTTTGATAATATTTTGATCATATTCCATTCCTTTTTGAGTTCTAATTCCATCCAATTGTCTCCTAATAATCTTCAAAGTATCGTCTTGTGGTCCGAATTAAATATTGAATATTTACAATTTGATTCTCAAACTTTGGACTTTGCTATTTTTCTTTGATTTTCTTTTGTTTCTTCACATTCCTTTTTCATTCATAAAGTTTCACCTATTAAACATAAAATAAAACAATTTATAATATATTTTGTCCAAAGAACTATTAAATATCGCTATTTTAGACCTGGATAAGTATATAAAATACACTTATCAATAATCATAAGTTGTTTTAATGTCCACGTCATCATACAACATTAGATAAATTGACCAAACAATTTATAAATAATTAGATTTACATGTAAATCAAAATTCGATAACTTGCACCAACTTGAATGTGAGTGACTAGATTGAAGTTAGATTTACTAATTACACCAAATTAAATACGAGTGACCTAGATGCACATTCATTTAAAATTGGATGACACGCAATACATTTAACTTGAGAAACTACGATTATCTTCCTTTTAGCCAGTTATAGATGGAAGTGATCAAGGGTTGAGATGGCTAGGAAAGGGTGAGCGAACTCTGTAAATATTTCAGGTCCGAGGGATAAGTCACACATTGGGGAGTTACGCCTCAATACTATACAATGTGCATGTGGCACAAGGGGTGTTTATTCTTTACCGAGTTTCAAGATGACTTACCCCAAGGAAAACAATAAAGTTAGATGTACATTCTAGCTTTTCAAGGTATTTGACACTCGCCATATGTGGAAGAAATCTGGCCAGTGATGGTATGGATGTGTTTAAAATTAGCGATCATGCTATATGTCGATCATCATTTACATCATTTTTACATTTTGTCACGTGATAACACTCCATTTGACAATTTAAATTTTAGACATTTTTTGCCCAATCATCACTTGCTAACATTTATAATGTCAACCATAATGTCAAAAAAGAATGTACAAGTGGCATTTTTCTAAAATCAATGGTGTAGATTGCTACCACATAGAAGAATGTCAAATTTAATGTAACTCATAACGTACATGTAGTATGCTTAGAATTAAAATTGTTTTTACTGAGTTTTCAGGGTGACTTACCTTAATAAAAGAACAGTCATGCTACATGTATGCTCTTGTGTACATCTTTTCTTACATTCTGTCACATGGCATCATTATTCCCTTTAATTTCTCCAACAATCTCTCTTTTCTGTCTAGATTATGCCCATATGAGGAAGTGTAAAGGTTGATGCACACAAGAATGTATATCTAGCATCATTGTATTATTTATTGGTAATTTTGTGACCAACTTTTCTCATCAAGACACGACATCCATCCTTGGTTCCTAGATTATGTGACCTACTTTTTCTGACCGCAGTTAAAAAGCCTCATGGTCACATCATTGTTAGTACGACATTAAAGCTAAGACACTACCTGCATACAGTTGTTGTAACAATCATGCTATGCTGTCAGAAAAGGTTTGACATCCTCATTGACACCACACTTACAAATAGGGGAGAGCATTTTTTTGATATTTTTTATTCACGCAGATCCCACGCGCATGTGATTTTATGTCAACGAATGTGTCAAACATTTTCTAGTAAAAGAGCTTTATTCTTGATGTAAACCACACCCACCAACAATTTGCAAGTAAAGTCATGTAATAAATACACAATCTGACCTTGAAATTACTCCTCCTCAACGGTTTCTACCCAAATTAAAAGCTCAAACTAGAGGGATACAAATTTTACAATTTTTCATTTTTTTTAATATATCATTTCGGGGAGGAAGGGGGGTTAACGGGGTAGGGGTGTCATATCTATTAGTATATGTTGTTATTGCCCTTAATTTTAAGCAGGGGTGGAGCCAACACTCTGTGTGCTCCTACAATTGCCCGTGATGGCTTTGTAGAATTTTTTTCCTTATATTGAGTGACCATTCGTGCGCACCTAAATTTCTAGATCCGTCATTGATTTCAAGAACCTCATTGCATAAACCTTCCTATCCTTTACATTGTTGGGTCTCTGCCGCAACATATTAAAAAGACCAAAATCAAACTCGACTCGATCAAGACGGCTCTTTGCACAGCCTTATTGACTCAAGTATGGATGCGTGCTTAGGAAATCCCCATCCCCATTTATAAGCATCATTTGCCAAAAACATCGTCAAAACAAACAACCATGTAATGATCTCCATTGGAATTGGAAAAAAATGTGAATATGATTTTACTTTAGATCACATCAAATGGTCAACCTATTATACAGAAAAATGCTATTCATTCCCAGTGGGGATGCATCCCCAGTCATTTAATTTCACCTATCATTTAATGACACATTAACGCCACATAGACTGGGGATGAATAGCATTTCTCTATTATACACCTTATAGACACATCATAATTCAAACACCATTAACTTTTAGGATTTTATTATTTGTACATCAAAATTGTAAATAAGGAATTGCATACTATAATATGGTGGAAAAAAATTGAATGAAAAAATTGAATATATTTTAAATTAACAAACGATAAAGTATCATATGAGATTATGTAACTCCTAATATATAGCAAGATCCCAACTTTTAATGGTGGACAATTGGATCATCCACCGTAGTGCACCACCCTAGCCCCACTAAAAATTCACCACGCTCAAACGTACATTACTGAGCTATATCATCATATCATGCGGTATAATATATGAAAATAAAAAGAGTTCTGCTGCTGTGCCAGGTCTGTAAAAGACTTGGAACAGTCATGTGAGATAGGGTGGGTGAGCACAGCCATGTGAGATAGGGTGGGTGGGTGTTTTAACATTTTTGGGGGGTTTTTTTAATGAGTTAGGTCCTCGGGACCCACCTCATGTGAGATAGTCTGTATAAAATCTGTGAACCAAAATCTGGTAGAGTAGAATAATTCAAATAAAAATACTGCTGCTGTAATAAAAATTGATAATAAAGAACAGAGTGATGTAATAAAACCGGAGCAAGGAGAAAAATCGTCTTTTCATTATGGTTGCCCGTCTCAACCGGCGATGATCTTTGGTCAACGGTCATGGCGATTAAATTTTAGGATTGTACCTCCCGAAATCGACGAGTTTACGGGACCGATTCGCCAAGCGACGCTGCAGTGGACAGATATGGCTTTGTCGGAATTCTAATCTCTCCGCTTGCGCAGGCAACAACCATCTCCGGCGGCACTCCCATGTGATTCCAGTGCCGGTTTGGGCTGGCGCGGACCAATGGACTCAAACAAAACTTCGAGTGAGAGACATTTCTGCTATGCCCTTGCCTTCCTCCCCCACGCCGCATTANCCCCACGCCGCATCACCGGTGTCTTCCGAGGCGTTCGCTTCCACCCTTGAGAAGACTCCGACGAATAACCGCTCGATCCACCATGGCAATGCTCATCCTCCTCGTCGGGATATCTCACAGGGGACATTCCTCGGTCAAGATTCCGGCAGGTTCTCCGTCGAGAACCGATTGTATCTTCATAAAGCGAAAACGTCGGAATCTGCTTTTTCCTCCGACCGGGAATAATATTAGAAAACCACAAGGGAGAAGCATTACACTTACAAGAATCCCGCGAATTCAACTGACCCGAAACAGAAGGCTCTGAATTTTGACCCGAATCTGAGTCCGGTTTCCCCGATTTGGATCTAAATAGACCCCAAAAAAGAGAAGAAATTGTTCCACTGGCACGCTTCTTCTTGATGCTACTGTCAACAATTGCTATAGATCCAGTTGGGCCCACCTGCGGAGTACTGTAGAACCGCTGATCGTAACCGTTGATGTGCCACCTGGAGGCGGAGGTAGTTTCAGATTTCCGTTGCGAAATATACGGCGAAACTGACCGGGGAAAAGCAAGAGGGGGCTGTTGTGCATCAAATTTAAAGCGATCATCTCGGGCTCGAGCCTGGGCCTGTTTCTTAGCCAAGGCTTGCTCCTGTGCCGCTATAACGGAGAACAGTCGTTCCCGGAGGCAGGAGGCGCAGACGCCGATGCTGCTACTGAGGTCCGCTGGATGCTTCTTGCACCTCATGTACTGATGTGGAAGTGCAAATACTTCCCCGTATTTATCTATATGATTCTATATATTCATGTATATATACAATAATTTCATGGACATAGGGTGACGGGATGAAGCATTTTCTGTGGCGTGTGTTTTGCTGTGTGCTCGTGTGTGTGTCGGGATCTGATGAGGGTTACAGAGGAGAGGCTCTGTCTTCTTCCCACTTTTTAGAGAGAGGGGAGCGCAAATTAGTTGGGACCAAGGCTTACGGAAGGATTTTGTACAAAAAAATTATTCCTTTTTTACAATTTAAAAGGAAAAAGCCTGCAAGTACAGGGAAATATTTACAGATTTTCTACAGAATTTTAATTTCACTCATATGGAGAGGTGGCGTCCACATGAATTAAATATTGTTAAAAAAATCGAGACCCACTATTGTGTGTATTCTATCTTCTTCTTCTTCTTCCCACTTTTCAGATATCCCATTATCTAAAACTTTGGCTAAGATTTCCGATTGATGCAAATTCTAGCGAGGATGACTTTAAGAGTCAATCCAGCCACTAGGAGAAAATTGGACATCACCATCACCAAGTTGCAGAAAATTTACACGACAATGAAATGTGATATTGAACAATGGTGTTGGAGGTGTGTGCAGGGATGATGATGGTTTGGTCGTGGTTGCCTTTGTGGAATCAGTATCGGGATTTGATCTCACCTTTTCGTTGTTGAGTGTATTTATGAGAATTGGGAGGGATTGAAGTCTGCCAAGCTTAAAGGACTATTTATCAGCAAAATTTAATCCCATTCTTGCAATGTCGTTGCTATTGAGAAAATGCGGTCCATTCATGCCCAGGAAGAAGCCCTTTTACTTAATTTTAATTGATTTATCATTTTTAGATGTTTGTTTTGTCAGGCACGAGGCCAATGGCGTAGCATACTCCCTTGTGTTGGATGACCTTTTGCCCTATCATTATAGGACATGGATGGGAGAATCCCCATCTTTCATTGATTGTTTTGTTTCGGCTGAAATAATCGAATAAAGATCATACTGGCATCAAAATAAAAATGTTAACCTTTTTCATCTAGAGTGCTTCAAAAATATGTAAGACAAATCAAAGAAGTGGTGTTTCTCAATGACTCTTTGAAGTTCAAATCAAAATAGGAAAGTAAAAAATTGAGTGTCATCTTGTATTCATGTGTTTTTATATTACCACAAATTGGATCCTTTTTATAGTTGAAAAATGACCTTGTTTGCATCAAGTACTTCCTGGGTTGATTGGCGTCTCTTTTGTCATGCACCCGTAATCAAGAGTTTTGTCTCTACAAGTGAAAGAGGGAAATTTATCATCTTCAATTGGCCTGTACTTGGTTGAGTGATCATTGGGCGTCGGTGGTGATCTTGTTGAAGGTTCTTACTTTTTAATCGCCACCAGAGATGGCTCAAAAACAATTTGGGAGACCTAGACGACCTTTTTTCAATAATAATAATAATAATAATAATAATAATAATAATAATAGAGCAAATTATCATTGAAGGAAATCTTGTCAATGATCACCGATGGTATAAATATTGATGGTTCTAATTGAAATTAATATATGCTCGTGATTCAGATGAATTTACTTTCACCAATATTGTCGATGATCATCAATGCACTTCATTAGATATTGCTGATGTCAATGTTGTCGGTGATATTTTCAAGAATCAGTAATGACGCTTTAGTCACCTATGGAAAGTCGTTGTAGTTACTAATCTAAGATTAATCTTTCTACATATTTTTATCTTTTCTTATAATAATACTGGTTCATAAATTATTTTTCTATTTGCTATTTGATTCGATGGAATTTTTGGTTAATATTTGTTGACAAGCAATAATGTAATGAGTAAAAGTATCGTTCCACAAGAAATAAATCTTAAATTGAATAGTATTAATTGGTTATCAAATTTGAATGTAAAATTAACAAAAGAGATTTATGTGTTTATGTATGTATTAACTACTAATTAATGATGATTTTAAATTAAATATGAGATGTAGTGTTGGAATTTGAATCCACCTATTATTATCATATTTTTAGTTCTCAATCTATGTGATCTAGTGTGATTTGTGTAGTTTTAATTAGGAGTGGATGAGACATGATTCAATTCTGTTTCAAAGAGAAATGAACCAAATCGAGTATCAATGAAAATCTTAAAAAATGAAATCATTGGCTCTATATCTAACTATATAACTGAATCGAAATCGAACCAATTGGTTCATATTCGGACCGATCCGCTTCTTTATATTGGAAATCTATAAAAATATAATATGAAACTACTTGTCAAATTAAAAATAGATAAAAATAAAGTTGAAATCGCTTCTCATTCTTGTAATATAATAATATAAAAATCAATTAAATAATGCAATAAATAGAAATACAATCTAAAGTTCAAGATCAATTAATAAGTGCATAAAAAGGATAAACTATTAAACACAATAAAAAGGGTAAATTTTGGACCAAAATTAATTTTTTAAGAAAATTCAGACAAAAATATATGTTAAGAATGCATATAGTATTTATAACCTGGTTATCTTTGATAATCTTCAAGGAGAAGTTCTTGATTCTAATGTTCTACCACTATGAAAACAAAGAAAAATTTGAGTTCTTACGAAATATTGAACTAAAAATACACTTTTTACTAATGAGATTGCATTAAAGATATGAAATTTTGTAACGTATTTATAAAATTATTTAGATTTAAATGTTGATTAACTATTAGTTATTGCTATAAAAGAAAGAAAGAAGAAGAAGAAGAATCGTGTGAAAAGTAAAATTTTGGCGTCAGATAATTTTAGGGTCTAATGGTCAAATATCTAGTGCAAATTTGTGCAATAAACCAACAAAAAGAGAAATTAAGAAGAACTCAATTCAATATGGTTCTTAAAGCATTACCAAGAATCGGATTGAAACCGATTGATTCTTGATGTGTGGTCCCAAAATTGATTATTTAATAAAGGAACTGAAGCCAAACCGACCAGTTCTATCCAGTTTCGATCCCGTTCTGAGAAAAATGCTCACCCCTAGTCTTGATAATTGATAATACAATTTCATTTAACTATCTCTCTCAAAGTAATTTAAACCTATTTTAGGTACGAACCGGTTATATTCCTATTTCGAATTCATAAGCAAAGTAATGTATTCAACCTTATGATTATCTATATGATTGCACATGACATATACGTTATTCCTAATATCCATTGTCCGTACGTTGAAATCGTAAAGTTTTAAACCTATCATGATCCTCATGAAAACATAATAAGTAACTAATTACCTAAATGGTGAGGAAGCATTTAAATAATTTAACAAGATGCATACAAGATCCATCAAGAACACAAATATTCTAAAAATTAATTTGTCTTTGAAATGAAAATAATCAATAGTGTTCATATTCATCCAATACAAGAAAGATCTAGTCTAACATGTTTTTAAAGAAATTACAACAAAAAAATTTAGAAAATCATCACCTAAAAAGTATAACTACAAGAAAGAGATGTGAAATCTATTTCTTTTCTTGATCTTCAATTTCAAACTTTGATTCTTCATGATCTTGATGTTTCTTGCCATCAAATCGTTGCCAGACTCGTTCCACTCCTCCAAATTATGGTAAATTCTCCCCTCTTAATTGTGAGATTTGTATGATATGATCGATGTGAGAGAGGTCCCCCCAATGTTTCCCTCGTTCTACCCTTGAGGGGGATGGAATTAGATTGTTCAATTTGATTTTCAAACGTGTTCCAATCGAATAAGGAAAATTGTATATATGCTAAGGTTTTTCCATGTGATTGCATGGGGATCTATGTTGTGATGGCAACAACCTAAGGGGGTTACGATCGCACTCTTTAAGTTTCGTCGATATCAATTTTGGTCCTCGAAGTTGCTCCTTTGTCCATCTTGAGTCCTTTCTTCTGGCAATTCTCATCATTTGTTTTCAAATCTCATCCAATTGATCCTATGTGATCTTCAACATTTATTCCTTGGTCCAAATCAACTTTTGAATATTTACAATTTAGTCCCTAAACTTTGAAAATCTTCATTTCCATCAATTTTCGTTTATTTCTTCCAAATTTACTTTCAATCATTAAGTTTTACCAACAACCAACATATAATTTAGATTAAACTATAATTCACAAAAGTACTCCCAAACGTCCATATTAAATTGCCTAGATAAGTGCATAAAATATGCTTATCAATATTTAATTTTACATTTTGGTGTTTTATTGATTTCATTGTAAGAAGTCTAAGGTTCCTAGCGTCTTTTGAATTTTTTATAGTTAGAAATTGAGAGAAAGAAGTAGAGGTTAATACATCTTGAATTTTGTTTAGGGATAGGTTTTGTTTTCTTTTTTATAACTATTATCAATATATTTTTAGAATTACTTTTCTACATAAATTAAAATTATTATCAATATATTTTTGCCTATTCGATGATATTAAGAACAACATTAATTTCCTCATCTGAAGTAATTCAATTTTAGGTTTTGCTAGAGTGAAAGGGCCAATGTAGTCACTCTCACTCCAAGGGACGCATGTGGCGCCCCCTATTGGATGGGTGTCTGTCCGCATTCATGCCCAACCAATAGGGGGTGCCACATGCGTCCCCTGTTCCTCCAAGGCCCACGTGGTCCGCACAAAATCCTTCAATTTTTTAGTAAGACAAACTAGGAAAGTTGTGCTGGTCGATAACTCTTTTACTATGAACTATGTAATATTCTAGTCCCAATGTATCAATGTGTTTTCAGATTTCCATAACATTGTCTTATGTAGATCCCATTCAATATCACTTAGACTAGTGTTATAGCGTCAATGATGCTAAATATAATTACTTTTTTAATTTAATTTGAATAAAAAATGATATATTGATAGCTCGATTTACTCTCTTTTTTTTTTTATTTGAAGCTTTAATTGAGGTTAATTAAATATGAAAATTGTTTTTGCTCACTTAATTATTCTCTTAATTATTATTAAAATGTTAATTCTTAGCCGGGTTTATCTGA